CCGGTACAGCGCCGACATCACGCCGCTGCTCAAGTACATCGTGCACCAGCTCTACAACAACCAGACGACCGAGATCGTCGTCCTCCGCGAGCTCATCTGGAAGCTCGCCGGCATCGAGCCGCTCCCGAGCCTCTCGGACTCGCAGATCGCCGCCATGGCGGGCGGCCCGACGCTGCGCATCGAGGCCGTCGCGTCCGCCACCCGCGGCGCGCGCCTCGATCCCAGCGAGGTGTTCAAGGGCCCGCAGAGGCTCGGCAAGGCGCTCCTCGACTCGTCGCTGGCACTGCCCCTCCTTATCCAGGTGGCGCAGCAGCGGCAGTCTGCGGTGTATCAGACGGCGGACGCGCACCTGAAGTCGATCGCGAGTTTGTACGACACGGTAAGCGTTTCTTGTCGTGTTATGTGTTGCACAGCGAGCTGATACGTGGGTCTAGACGCATGGGGTTTTGTTGCAATATCTGGAATTGTTGAACACGCCGGCTGTGATTCCTTCGTCGGAGTACGCGGAGAAAGTCGTGCCGTCGCTCGCCGATCTTGGCGAATTGTACGGTATTGGCGCTCCCATCTGCATGCAAATAATGCGACCGATATGGCACTCTACTCTTCTCGTAGGTCTTCATACTCGCCATTGGATTGTATCTTTCACTGACCAATCTATGCAGAAAGCGGCACTGGCGAAGGAAGAGCAGGACCGCCTCGCGGGCATGGAGACAGAAAAGCGACTGAAGGCTGCTCTTGCTGCAAAGCGCGACCCTAGTAGTAGCACCTCGCGGATTGCGTCGCCGGCTGCCGGTGAGACTAACGGGCACGCGGCAGAATCTGCCGAAGCGACGCCTGGTACGCAGGACGTGAAGCCTGCTGAGGATGTCGTGATGGAGAATGCAGCTACGCCGGTGCAGCCTGAGAGTCCATGGGTACCGCAGATCGAGGCGCTCTTTGAGGACGTGAAGAAGATCGCGCCGCAAGAGGCTTTCGATATTATTGGGTACGTTTCACGCTCATGCGCACATATACTGTCTAATACCACCTCTTTCAGGCCTGGCTTCTACTTGACGTTCTGGCAGCTCTCCACCTACGACCTCTCGCCTCCAGCATCCAAGTACGACGAAGAATGCGCCGCCCTCCGCGCGCTCAGCCGACAGGAGGACTCGAAGTACATTTCCGCGGATCGCTCCTCAGACAGGACGCGGCGCCAGGGCGCCTACGTCCACCGCTCGCGCCGCGACCGCTACAATCAGTTCGTGGACACGCTCTCGCGCGAGCTCAAGGAGCAGACGGTCTCGCGCATGTACACGATCAAGCGGCTCAACAAGGAGAAGGCGCATTGGTTCACCCATAGCACCAAAGCGGCGTTGCTGTCGTCCGCCATCATCGAGCATTGCATCCAGCCCCGCTGTTTGTTGTCGCCTATGGACGCCGATTTCTGCGCGCAGTTTATCAAGGTCATACATACTCTGGGGACACCGGGCTTTAGCACTTTGATGGTATACGACAAGGTACGGCATGCGTTCATACTTGGCTTGCATTTGACTCAAATATGGTGTAGTTGTTGGGTGATCACGTCAAGACCGTCGTTTTCTCGTGCAGCGAGTATGAGGCGCGCAACTATGGTACGCGTACCACTCTTCATCAAACTTACCCAGCTCAACTTCTGGTTCAGGTCGCTTCCTCCTTGGCATCCTTACCGACTTGTACAAGTGGTACCAGGACGAACAGGTCTATATGCAGGACAACCGAGTGAAGGCCAGCGGGAAGGCCGTTTGGCTGCCCGGATTTCAGCGTCAATGGACATTCAAGGAGAATATCGAGCCTTCAGCTATCCTATCTTGGTCCAACTTCCAGCAGGTCGTGAAGAAATGGCACCGCAAGCTGTTCAAGGTATGAGATCCACATGCACTACGGCAGGGCCGGTCTCATCGTTGCCGCTTCAGTCTCTCGCAGAGTGCATCGCCGCGGGCGAGTTCATGCACGTCTACAACGCGATCATCGTCCTGAAGGAGATCCTTCCGGTGTTCCCGCTCTCGAACGTCGTCGAAGCGGCCGGAACGCACTTGAATGCTGTCCTGGATCACTTCATGAAGAAAGAAGAACGTGGAGACCTGAAGATTTTGGGCAGAGCGTACGTGTCGGTTAGTTCATGTGATAACAGGATGTTGACAAATTGCAATAGGTACCACGCGAGTCTGCTCAAGAGGGAACCATACTGGGCCGCTCCAAAGAGCGCGATCTCCAAGGTACGATGGGATCTGTTTCGTAGGTTCTTTCTTTTGTTCTGACCATGGGTTCTTGAAGCCCGGCACCGCCACCTCCATCGCATCGCCTCGTCCGGGGTCTTCATCTCCGGCGCCTACTGCTACCGACAGACCACGGAGCGGTGCGCCCTCGAACGGACCACCGGCCGCAGCCGCAGCTCAGGTCGACAAACCCCGCAATACCCCTAGTTCGACGCCATCCGCGCCCCGCGCACAGCTGGGTGCAGCGAATGGCAATGGATCGGCACCCGGACACACATCCACGAAATTGGCCATGAACAGGTACGTCATGTTCCTGTGGATTTCTTCGCCGTGCCTTAGATCCCATCGTCTTTCAGCATACCGCGTCCGGAAGTGGTGAAGAGAGTACGGACGGAGCCAAGAGCACCAACGCCCACACAGCCCACCGCAAATGGCAAACCCGGCGAAACGCCCATGGACGTCGACTCCGGCACCAACGCGCAGTCCACCGAGTCGCGTCTCCCAGCAAAGGACGCGCTCGCTGCCGCAAGCGCACTGCGTCCTAGCCCGCGCCCGGCCGGTGGAGCACCGAGTCCACGCCCGGACACCCCGGGCGCCTCTCAGATCCGCAAATCTGTGCCATCGCGCCCGCACACGCCGACGCTGTCTGTGTCCACGAACCCGCCGCCCAGCAGCAAGCCACCGCCACAGTCGCCGCGGAGCCACCGGGCGCCGGACATGCAGCAGCAGAAGATGCCGCCGCCGTCCGTGCCCAGTCAAACGGGCGCCGCGCAGGGCTTCCGGGAGGGCGCGAAGCAGGCCGTTGGGCGCAAAGACGAAGACGACGGACGAGAACGCGAGCGAGAACGAGAACGAGAACGAGAACGAGAACGAGAACGAGAACGCGGGCACCGGGTGCCGCCAAGCGAGCCCCGTCATCCGAGCAGCACTTCGCGGGCACCATCACCATCGACGCGCCGCCGCTCGCAGTCACCGCCGACAAGACCTGGGACGCGGAACCACAGCAGCGAGAGCCGACGGTCGCGTTCTGACCGCGGAGACGGCGATCGTGTGGATGAGAAGCGGGGTGACCGAGAGAGCAAAGACGGAAGAAGTGCCGAGCGCAGGGAGGCCTCCTCGCATAGGAGTGACCGACGGGAGCGCACGAGCACACGCGAGAGCGAACGTGACCGCGACAAGGACCGCGGACGGGACCGACACGGAGACCGCGAGCGTGACCGGGACCGGGACCGCGAACGTGAGCGCGACAGGGAGCCCAGGGACCGCGAGCGCGAACGGGAGAGGGACAGAGGAGAGCGCGAGCGCGAGCGTGGCGACAGACACCGAAGGGACGAGAAAGACCGCGACCGCGACGGCAGGAAGGAGCGCGAGGCCGCGAGTCGGGGCGTGCCTGCTGCGGCCGACGACCGCTCGGTACCAGGCCGACCAGACCCATCGCGCCACCGCACCAGCGGGCAGACGCAAGATGACGGTCTTGGGAAGCGAAGACGGCCGGTGGACGACGAGGTGCGTGTTTACGCGTTTTTGGCTTTCGTTCTTCGGCTGATGTGCGCCTTTCTAGCCGGACCGAGCGTCGAAGCGAAGCACGCGCGAAAAGGGCCACCGCGAAGAGCGCAGCCGCAGGTCCTCTGAGAAAGACCACGAGCGGCCGCGCGAGGAGCGATCCGACCGTCGCCGACGGGAGCGCGATGTCCCAGACGGGAGCGCGCCCTCGGACAAGGTACGCACATTCACCATTCCCATCGCTCGGGGACTGTAGCTGACGATCGTGCGCACGCAGGCGGGCGAGAAACGTATTCCCGAGGGTCCTTCGTCTGGCAAGGCGCTCCCACCGACAACGCCGTCGGCCCCGCGCGCGATGTCCTCTAGCGAGATGCTGCGTGGCGGGAAGGCCGAGACACGGGAACGCGAGCGTGGGCAGAATGGGACGCAGGATGCGCCGGCAACACCGCAGGTACCGCAGGAGTCCAGTAGTACCAGTGGCAGCTTGCGGTCGCGGATAGGTGAACGCGAGGCTCCGCCGTCTTCGCGGACTCCTCAGGCTCCGGGCACTTACAGTGCGCCTGTGGATCGGGACCGCGAGCGAGGGCGCTCGGAGGAAGACCGGGATGGCGGTAGAAAACGGACTGCGTCTGGTGCGTGCCTCGCTTCTTCATATGTCCCGCCTTGTGTACTTATGCGATCTTGTGAACTCGCAGAGCGCGAGAAGGATACACCTGGAGATAGTGGTACGGATGCGACCGTGCCCCCGAAGCGGCCGCGCATCAACCGCAACAGGTATCCCACCCAAGCCCCACCGCATGCGCTTGCGCGCAAGTTGCTGCCCATCGACCACCAGGCGAGCGAGCGTGCTGCGAGGAAGGATTAGTGTGTGAAGTCGAGACCGAGGTCGCGTCGTGTGCGATGTTTGTTGTTTCTGTCGTGCCGTATTGTGTTTGTAGCATAGTATCTGCCTCGTTGTGTGCGTGGTATTGGTGCATATCATAGTTGGTTTTTGGGTCGTTGTACTCCCCTCTGCGATATTCTGGCGTGTGCCCTCGAAGTATTTGAAGACTCGGAAGCTTGACTCTTCGATCTTGATCTGGTGTTCATTCATGCATGTGCATGCATGCTGGCAACGGAACCAATCATTCCATTCCACGATATTGCTCATCAATATGTAATTTAATTCTTTGCATTTCGTCCCCCATCTCCTCCCCCCTTCCATGCTCAGCTCCTCTCCCTCCTTTTCCTTTTTACCGTTTTTCTGCAACAACAAAAACGTGTTGACGAGAGTGGGATTCGAACCCACGCCCTGTCGGACCAGATTACGTAAGCTACGCAACTGAGCACCCAATGAATGCTGGTCGCTTGACCTTAGTCTGGCGCCTTAGACCGCTCGGCCATCTCGCCATGTAGACACGGGCACCGGAGCACCCCAGGCGCCCGGGGTGGTCCGCGGGGTCAAAGATAACACTAGACTGACTAGTTCGTGCTTTCATTTCTTCAGTATGCGCGTGCGGCAGTCCCGTATGGACAATTTGTAGTGGGAAGCCTCGTGCGCCTTCCATTGCTTGCGAGGCGAGACGGGGAGGAATGTACGGCAAGTCCATGCTCTAGTTCTCTTCCATATTTCATACTAGTACGGCCCTCATATAATCCCATGCTACATGTTGCACGCGTACGCGAAATCGATAGACACAGGAATGGTGTCATTATATTCATCCGCGTTCATTACAGCTGTCGAAACGTTTGAGATGAAACCTTCCTGGCGGTACGTAAATACCGCGTGCGAGGATTCGCAATTCGACCAGGTGGACGGGAGGATATGTTCGTACGGGGGTACATGCTACAATCCATTAACAACGCTTTAACTATATACAAGGCATGGTGCTATTGTCAGTTGATGATGCAATGCTGCTGTTGAAACATGGAGATGAGATAGATGGGATGAAATAATGATAGATGGATAATATGCGCGTCCGTCCGTCCGTCCGTCTGTGGTCGATGCGGGCGATGCCTATCGGATGCATGTGGTGGGGTGCGAGTTGAATCGGAGGCGGCGAGTTGAATCGCAGGGCGCGCGGCGCACCTAGCGGCCCTTGATAAGCGTGAGGAACTCTTCGCGCGTCTTCTGCTGCGTGCGGAAGCAGCCGAGCATGCACGACGTGACGGTGATCGCGCCGGGCTTCTGGACGCCGCGCATCGTCATGCACATATGTCTGCGGAGAGGCGTGAGCAAGGGGCACGGGCACGGGCGCAGGGCGGGGCGGAGGCTCACGTTGCCTCCATCACGACCGCGACGCCGCGGGGCTTGATGGCCTCCTGGACGCAGATGGCGATCTGGCGCGTCAGGCGCTCCTGCACTTGGAGCCGGCGGCTGAACGTCTCGGCGACGCGCGCGAGCTTCGATATGCCGAGGACGAGCTTGTTCGGGATGTACGCGATCGCGACCTGTGCGTGGACATGAGCATGCGGGACAAAGATGTGCGCGTAGACCGACCTTGCCAGTAAAGGGGACGAGATGGTGCTCGCAGAGGCTCGAGATGTCGATGTCGCGCACGAGCACCATCTCATCGTGGTCCTCTGCAAAAACAGCATCATTGATCACGTCTGCGGAACATTACCTTTCAGCGGCACGAAACACGCAGAGACGGACAGACGGCGAGCACCTGCGAGGCGTTCTTCGTAGCCTTTTGTCATCCACATCAACGCCTTTGCGTAGCGCTCGGGCGTGCGCAGGAGGCCCTCGCGGTCGGGGTCCTCACCGATGCATTCGAGCACAGTGCGCACCGCGCCTGCGAGCCGCTGCTCGCGCGCGGCCATTTCGGTCGGTGTCGCGTTCAGACGCGACACAGTCGATTTTGCTGCAGGGGTGCGTGAGAAAGAGGCGAGGAGGAGGCGGGGACGGCGTACCGGGCCACCCCAGTCCATGGACGTCTGGGAGGGGGCTGGCTGCATCGCCTGGGTGGGAGGCCGGAGAGGAGACGCCTGAGGCCGGGCGGAAGCCGTAGCCTTCGCGGGCGAGCGAGGCCAAAGCGGCCTTGGCGGGTGTGGGGGCGACGATGGCGGGGACGTCGGGGTCGTGCTTGGGGTCGTCGGTGGTGTCGGCGTCGGTGTCGTCGACGGCGAGGGAGCGGACGCCGTCGAGGAGGCGTTGGTGGTATTGATCGTCGGTGTCAGCGAGGGACATGGTGGAGAAAAGGGAGATGGCCTAAAAAGGCAAGGTGTAAGGGAGAGCAAGTTGTTGTTGCTGTGGACCACCGCTTCCGGAGATTTGAAGGAGGACCGCAATATCAGACCGAGTGAGTCGGTTTATGTCTCCCACATACGTTCCGCGCCGCTTCCCCAGAACGCACATGCCTTTTGGGTCGGATGCGCAGGCGCAGGCAGGGGAGCCTCTCTGGCTATCTCCATGGCTGCAATCGCACCGATGATGTCTCGGACTTGTGCGACTCCATCCACCCGGTTAAATGAATCCTTTTGCGCTCCCGCTTTTAGGGAAGTTTCATACCGACCAAACATCCCTTCTTGACAGGGCCCAGCACAGCTTATTTTTTCCAGATGACCGACCCCTCTTATAGCCCTCCGGATGCTGCGTCTCTCCCGACGCATCAGCCCCGTCTCTCACGATGAGCTCACTCTTCCTCCTTCGCCAGATTTTGTTGTACGACCTCTGGATGCCCTTTACAGACTCTTGCGTCCCCGACGGCCCATCTAAGGTTGCGCCACAGCAGCCCGAGTCGCTCTATGAGGCATGGCTTGCCTCCCGCAGCCTTTCTAACCAAAACACAGACAGCAGTCTCCCCGCTGGCGCCAAGCGTCCTGTCACGCGCACCAATCTCAGGCTTGCGCGTCGGATTGCCACCTTGTGTCTTCCTCAGATGCAGAAGTTGTTCTGGGATGCCCATCCTTTCCGAACAATAGCAGTCATCTTGGTCAGCTTAATACGGGGTGCCTTCCCTGTATTTAAAGGCTATTCTCACGCGCTCATTATCAACGAAGTAAGTTTCCAGGGTTACTGGTGTCGCCCTTTGCTCACTCCCCAAGAGGTCCAAAATCTGCTCTTCTCAGAACACTTTACATGGTCGCGTCTTGTGCGCCTCCTGGGCACAGAGCTCCTCAGGGCCACGGCGGAGAAGATTCTAGACTCCTTTGCGTAAGAACCCCTTCTGCCGTTTTAGACTCGCCGATCACTTACCTACTGACGATCCCAGGACCGAGAACGAGCAACTCGTGCAGAGCTCTGCGCGCTTTGTTGTCGAGTACCAGCAGATGGAACAACGCGTGCGCCTTGACGTACCCACGATGTCAGATCCCATCATCCGCGATCTCGTCACCGAGTCAGACGTTTTCGTCTCATCCTTCCAAGGAATGGGCGGCTTCAGCCTGCTCTCGCCTTTTGACTTTGTCCGCGTCTTCACTCTTCTCTCGGAGCTTATCTCGCACGTCTTTGTTCTCTCCTCGCTAACCTACGGACCACTTTCCGTGATCACCTTAATTTTCTCTCTCATTTCTTCTGCATACCCCTTCGTCCACTCTTACTTCCTCCCCTACCGATTTAATTACGACCCCTCAGGCTATGGCGAGCAGGAGATGCGCCATGCCGAAAAGCAGGAGCAGATGCGGCAGCTCTCCGTCAGCGAGTCACATCGCCCGGAGGTCATGCTCTTCGGGCTCGGACCTTGGATCCTCGACAGCTGGGCTTCGTCGCGCAAATTCGCACTAGGGCTCCAATCACAACCAGGACCGTCAAAATTCGGCCTCTCCCAGCTCCTTAGCCACATCAACGTCGCCGAGCTAATCACGACGGCCCAAAACGTCCGCAGCCTTTGCCTACCATTTCACCGATGCACGCGTGATGCGCTAACGCCCGCCCTTCACAGATCCCGTTCGTTCTGATGCTGAGGACATCACCTTCGCTCGGCTCACTTGCCTTGTACCGCAATTCGGTCCAGTCCGTCGTATACACCGCCAACAACCTCTTCCTCACCGCCCAAATGGCCATACAAGGCATATTTCTGATGGGCGCCTTCTGCGCTGCCATGGAGGTCGAGCCCGCGCTGTGTCCAAAAAAGGAGTGCGAGGTCCGCTACGAGTCGCAGAACGGCGGCATGAAAATCGAGGCGCGGTGCGTCGTATTTACGCTCACGAGCGGGGCCTCTGATGCTGATTGCGCCGCGCACCGTCTTCGTCGTCACAGAAATCTGTCTTATACCTATCCAGGCTGCGTCGAACCGGCACTGAGGAACATCAATCTCACTCTTGAGGCAGGAGAAACCCTCGCGCTCGTCGGCTACAACGGCTCCGGTGCGTCCCTCCCATCTCACTCGTCCATCACCGCATGACCGCTCACGCACCCCCGACAGGAAAATCGACACTCGCGAAGATACTCCTGCGCATCCTCGATTTTTCCACGGGCGCGCTGTGCATCAACGGCACGGACGTGCGCGCATACGACCCCGCCGCGCTGCACCGCGCGTCTGCCGCCGTATTCCAGGGCTTCGCGCGCTACGCAGGCTCCGTCGCGGATAACGTCGGCGTCGGGTGCGTGCACGACATGCGGCAGCCTGCGGCGCTGCGCCGGGCGGTGCGCCTCGCGGAGAGCGAGCACATCGTCGACCGGCTGCCGCGCGGGATCCACACGCGCCTCGATGCGGGCGACCCCGCGTACGCCCCGCTGCAGACGCAGGCACTCGCACAGACCCAGGGGGACGCGAAGGACAGGCCCGCGTGGATGCCGCATGGCCTGTCGGGCGGCGAGGTGCGTGTTTGCCTTTAGCCTTTTTGTTGTTTGATGCGGTGCTCATGCACGCACCCGCAACGTTGCTCCTGCAGTGGCAGCGCATCGCCCTCGCGCGCGCGTTCATGCGCGCGGATCGCCCTGAAGTCGACCTTCTCCTCTTCGACGAGCCTGTGAGCCTGTCACCTCTCCCCCTATTCTTGTCGTGTGCGGACCTTGCTGATGTGCGGTAATGCAGACGTCCTCGCTGGACGCGCATGCGCAGCACAAGATTTTCGAGACGATAGACACGCTCGCGCGCGCGCCCGACGGTGCAAAGCGGCGGACGGTCGTGTTCGTCACCCATCGCCTCGCGACTGCCCGGCGCGCGGACAAAATTGCCATGATGGAGCGCGGGGTACGTGTTTTCTCCTGACTCCTCCCATCCTGTGTCCCATCTCTCGTCTACTATGTTCCCCGTTCCATTTTTATTCGAACCATCTTCCGCCTTCGATCCGCGCTTCACCTCCCTTCTTTTCTCGCACCTTATTTCGCTCTCCGCCTTCTTCTGTCTTCTGTTCTCCTCGTCCCCGTCTCCGCTCCCACATGCCCGGCCTCCCTGGCACTAAGCACCCCATCAGCACTTGCTCCGTCCCTTCTTTATCTCTTACTTATCCTGCCCTGCTTTGTT